ATATATAACTACATAATAAGCCTGGCACTTCATACCGGCTGCTGCTGCTTCTTTTTAAACAGCATTTGTTGTATACAATATACATTACCTAAATAAAGAATACAGGAAAGATGAAGCATTATACTCCTGTAAACATTGACCGCAGTACCCTTCCATTCTAGCACTCCCTGGCCTTAACAGCCACTCACTAAACGTTGAGCAGGGAAATCAATGATCAAGAGGGGCCTCAAACTGGCAAAGGGCTCAGTTACTTGTAAAGTTATACAAGGAGGTTTATTAAGTGAATATGAAAACAATGTGTGGTAAAAGAAACTGATAAGGGCTCTATTAACGCCAACCTTCCAATCTCAGCTCCTCGCGGTTCACAAAAGGTTAAATTTGTTGCCAAGGTCTCAGAAAGAGCCGCCAGCATCCTAGGGTGAACAAGGACTGGAGGGAAACAGTCAAAGGTCACGTGACCAGTTCATTTGGAAAGGCCTTCTTCGCTGTGTCCGGGATCCGACAGCCAGGCCTTTTGGCTCAGAAGCCTTTGGCGCCTACAGGGGCCTCAGCTCCGCTCTTGCGCCACGTGGCTCCGAGAGGGCGTTCCCAGTCGGGGAGGAAGGAGGAGGAACCCATACTGCGATCGGTCCAAGAGCATCATGGGAGTTGTAGTTTTCCCAGTGGACGTGGCAATATACGCGCTCCTCCTCGTTTTTTCTCAGTAAATAGCTCCTCTTTCGTGTAAGACTTTTCAGAAAGCATGTTTCACCAAGGCGGAGCCTAGATATTTCCTAAAGAAGTCTTAAAGGGGGAAAGCACCGTGCAAAAAAGAGACCAATCGAAAGGTTATCGATTTGGACGAGAAAGGGTTAACACTTGGCACGCATGCGCGCCGAGGGCCTGCGGGTGGGCGGGGACGGAAGGAGGAGTCCCGCCAGCAGTGTTTTCCCCGGAAGTTCCTCCCCTCCTCCCTCCTCCGCTCGGTCGCGGCTTCCCTACCTCATTTGTCCTCGCCCCTCCCCGTCCCTCTACGCGTTTTGGTTCCTGGTTGGTGCTTCCTGGTAGCAGCCACGGCAGTGAGTATGTGTGTGACGGACCCAGAGCCGCCCGCGGCCGGGGTACCCCTGCCCGCCCTCCTCGCCTGGCAGGATGTGGAAGTAGCCTGTGTCGGTTCGCAGACCACCCCGTCCTCTCTTTGGCCCCACGCGGGGCGGCGGGGGCGCCACTCGTGGCCCTTGCCCTCTGAGTGCCTTTTGTGGCGTCTGGGCTGACGGGCCGGGGTGTCCACTTTTCCCTGCCTGGCTAAGGCCCGTGGGTCGTGGAGGGCTGAGCGGCCGCGGGCTCGGTAAGGGCGGTGCTTCTGCCCATTCTGCCCCCGGCCCGGCCCGGCCCGTTCTTCCCTCTCCAGTTTTCCCTCCCTTTGCGGGAAGCTCCTCCGCCAACCGCGCCAAAGGGAGCCCGGCCTGGGAGGACCGACCTGTGCTGGGCCAACTCTGGTCTCCGCTGTTAGAAGCAACTGCTGCAGTAGTGGGACACCCCCCTCCCGTCCTCCCCCCGCCAAAAGAAAGTTCGACTATGTGCCCTCTTGTAAAAACAAGGAGACCTGGACCGAGTTCACTAAGCTCCCCTTCATCTCTCACACGTCTTGAGAACCGATAGTTGCCTTCAACATTAAGAGCTCCGGGGGCAGTGGACAAGGCGTCCACCTGGCATGGGGGCTGGCCTCGACTCGCTGGTGACGCTAGAAATGTCTAGAGTGAATTTACCTTTGTGTTTCAGATCGCAGGATTGGATTAGGTGATCTTGTATGGCCTTTTTTTAGCTCCATAAGTTACTTTCTCCGAGCTAGTTTCAGTTGCACCACTCGAAGATGGTTTGAATGTCACTTTCAAGGAATTTGAAGTGATGTGTGTGTATATTTTAAGACCGCATCATGCTTTGGGGTAGTTTAATATTACTATTTTCAACAGAATCTGAGGGTGGGGAATGAACAGAGGAAGAAGTGGAAGTGGAGATTCCTAGTAGGAATGGGGGTGGCTAAAAAAAGGTGGTGTGGGGGGAGTCTCCAAGGCTAAGACACTGCATCTTAATGGAAAGGCGCTGAGCGAAAGGTGGGGAAGGAGGAAGTTTCGGACATCGTTTGTTCTGATAAAAAGACCTTTAGGTATTGTAAGCACCGTTGGGACATGTCTGAATAAATTTAGCCATAATTTTCCCCACCCAGATCTTGTGTTCTGGTTTTGTGACCATCGTTGAGGGTGCTCACCTCATGTTTATTTGGTTCTAAGTGGCATTTGAAGAATGGACAGACATATTAACACTACAGCCAAGACATTTTAACACTACAGCCAACTTTTTGTGTTTCAAATCTCAGGGTAGCTTACTAGGTGTAAGGCAGACTTTGTGAGTTGAAGATAAATGACAGGTATTAATCACTTCCTAGGGAAAATCAAGCAGTAGATTTGCTTGAGATCCGCATCATCAGGACGATGTAGCTAGGCTGTTGATTTTATAAAAGTTCTTGGGAAGAAGATTAAGTGCCTGGAATAACCAGTAGGCAATGGGATTAACTGTAAAGATTTTATAAATTAATTCTGGAAGCTTAAGTAAACCAAGTTACTTTAAAAACCGGTGAATGAATACTGCTCCTTTTGAATATAAACAAGGGCTTCAAAAAGTCAGTGGAACAGTACCATCTTTTATTCCATTTTTCCATGAACTTTCCCAAACATTTTTAAAGATAGACTTCATTGCTGTGCCAGTATTTCAGGTTCTTTTATAAGAACTGTATTTTTTGGCTGTGGGTTTGTAGTAATCTTTTGAGCTCCAATTTGGGAGGCTTTTGGATAGTAAACTGACAAATTTGAGATTACACTTTTCCATCCAATTGAAATGCCTCTTTCTTAGTTTTTATACTCCACTGGAAAGTAAAATGAAAATCTGTATAACAAATTTAGGTGACGAAACCAATGCAAATGTAGAATTAAAGGAAGGGTTTTAAAATATTTAAAATATATTTATTTGCAAAATCCATAGGCAGAGGGAAATGGGAGTCTGCTCTGGCTGTGTTCTTAACTAGTTGACCTTCTTCGCTCTCTGGACCTTAGTTTCTTTATGTAGAAATTACGGAGGTTGTATGAGTATGAGAAAATCTGAATGGTACCTTCTATTTAAAACTTTTGTGACCATCCTAGTACTCTTGTGTTATCTAATTAATATGTTTGAGATGTGTACAGTGATCAAGAAGCAGAAAACCTAAATATGCATACATACATCTTCTGAGTATACACTTGCTTAAAAAGTAAATTAAATGCATTTGAATATAATTAAAGTAGTAACATAAACCCATACAGCCTCAGGCAAACCTTACCACGAGCATGCATAAACTGCACAAATGGAGCAAGTTCTGGTGAGCACAATTTTCAAGTACAGAAGGCACAAAATCCTCTTAAAGGCCATAGGGGCTAAATTGTTAAATTCATTTTTCTACATTTCAGGGAAAGAGATAAATCCTTAGACCCAAGAAGTCCGTTTTATTATGCTTCTGTAGTTTATTTTTGGCATACATTCACAGGTGTGCCTATGGCTCTTTCCTTAATCCCTTTCCTCTGGGACGGCTCCAAGAGTGGTGCAAATTTGTAACTCGGTAATTTAGCTTTTTAATTTTTTCTGTGCAGTGCCAGAATTATGTTTTATCTTAAGTCCACACTGGATCCTCAGGATGGATCCAGTGAGGATTTTGAAGGAAGCATAATTCCTTTGACTTCTTTTAGAATTAATTTACCTATTAAATAAAAAGGAAAGGATTCATCTTTTATAGAATTCCTCCGAGGCTAACATTTCAATATAGAACTGATAAATGCTCTGAACATTATTATTCAGACTGCCACATTCAACTTGTTTGACAATAACTGGCAGCCTGAAGGTAGCAGTGTAGTAAGGGGACAGGTACAGGGTAGCGTTTAGAAGAAAAAAGGCATTAGAAGTTGATTTCTTTGTTTCTGGGAAACTTCACCCTGAGTGTCATGTATTCTTGATTCTTGTTGATTTGATTTTGGGGATCAGCTGGTACTATCACCAAAACTGCTGTTAGATCATCCTAATACTTTGGGCAGATAATTTTGAAAACTAAAACTGTCATTCTTTTTGCATTTTATCTGTAGTATGTAATTTAGAGTGGAGTAGAAAGACTAAATTGGTGTTTTTACTGTTGGGGGCCCCTGAGTTTTGCACAAATGGGCATTGCTTTTGCAGAGCCCTCATCTTGACCGGTAGTCAGTTAGGCCCCATTTGAAGCATCGACTGTGTAGTTTTGGGGATAATTTGAAGCTTGAATACTTGAAGACAAGTATGAAATTCATCCCATCATACCTTTTTTTTGGGCACATACTAAGATTTTCAGGGCTTCAGAACAAATGCTTACTGTTATTGATGTATTCATTTATTAAGTCAACAAACATTTTTAGAGATCCACTTTAGTACTATAATAAGCGTGGTTTGGGGGAGCCACTGTTTAACATAAGTGCTTGTACTTGCCACTCTCCTAGATTTGTGATCTGGTGTAGGGTTACACATGGGTCTGCTAGCCTCAAGGTCGGCAGTTTGAAACCACTAGTCACTCTGGGAGAAGGAGGAGGCTTTCTGCTTTCAGAAAAGTTGCAGTCTTGGAAACCCCCAGGGGCAGTTCTGTCCCCTTAGAGGGTTGTTATGGATTGGAATTAATTCCACAGCAGTGATTGCTTGCTTGGTTGTTTTTTGTTTTTTGTTTTTTTTTTGTTTAGCTTTACATTGAATAATTAGAAATGGCATGCTGTTTTAAATGGAAGCCTATAATAGGGTGTTTAATTTAGTTTGGTGGGTTTAGGAAAGCTTTCTGGAGAAACTGATGGTTAAGCTGAGTTGAAGGAGGAGCAGGGCTGAATGTTTACCGACCTAAAAACCCTTTTTCCTGGATTCCATTCTCCTTATAGGACAGAGTAGAACTGCTCCATAGGATTTCCAAGACTAATCTATATGGAAGCAAGACTGCCACATCTTTCTCCCTTGGAACTGCTGGTGGGTTCGAGCCTGTGGCTTTTGTATTTGCAGCTGAGTCCTTAATGCACTGCATCACCAGGACTCCTTGCATATGCTCACAATAGGAAGTATTTCTAGGTATGTTCTTATTTTCAAAGCTGTCAAGTTTTGCCTAAGTTTACATGTTCTTATAGCTAGCATTGAAGTAAGCTAGCACAGATATTTTTTATGGATTCCTTTGGTCAGGGTTAACAAGGCCATGAGATTATTTTTTTTGTTGAGGTAAAAATCTGTACCAAGATAGTAAACTTGCTCATTTCTTCCTGTTGTGAATTTTAGTTGTCGTTGAAATAATATTCCTGTATGAGAAATATAAGCACTTATGTTAAGTAATGGATCCTAAAACAAGCTTAGTACTGAGGTGGATCTCTAAAAAGATTTGTTGATTTAATGAATGAATAAATCAATGATATCATTAGGCATACCTGGAAATATGAAGGATGGGTGGAATAGTGAAAACCATTTAATTATTTTAAGGCATTGAGAAAAGCAATGGCCTTACACACCATTTGTAGTAAGCAAACATGAATGGAGCTTTTAAAGTACTTGTTCATGTCTTTTTATTCACAGCCTCACAGTTAACTGCCATTCCATGATGTTTGGTGGTTTTGAGACGATAGAAGCATATGAAGATGACCTTTATCATGAAGAATCATCTAGTGAAAGTGTCGATAGCGAGGTGGAATTTCACCTCTACAGCCAAGTTCATTATGCCCAAGATCTTGGTAATGTCAGAGAAGAGAAACATGAAGAAATGGACTCTGAGAATTCTGAACTGCTGAGTAGAAAACCAATTCAGCAGAATCTAATTGTCCTTTCCGATAGCGAGGTCATCCAGCTGTCAGATGAGTCAGAGGCCCTCACCTTGTCTGATGAAGACAGTGTTTATAGATGTAAAGGAAAGACTGCCGAAGTTCAGTCACAGGAGGAGACCCGGGGCGCTCCTGTTAAGAAGTATCAGAGGGATATTGGGAAGCCCAAACCTGAAAAGAGACCAGGCGTGCTCCAAGAAGTCATGATTATAGAGGTCAGCTCCAGTGAGGAGGAAGACAGCAGCGTTTCAGAGAGTGATAATGTGGAAAGCTGGATGCTTCTGGGATGTGAAGTAGATGATGATAAAGATGATGATATCCTTCTCAACCTTGTGGGATGTGACAGTTCTGTTCATGAAGGTTAGTATTTGCCATTTTGAAAAGTAATGTCTTTAATAAAGGAGGACTGCCTTTTTCTAGACAAAAGACCAGTAGGGTCTGCTCCATTTAATTCCACCCTTTTAGACAACTCTAGTGGTCTGTCCGAACATCAGAAAGAATGTTAGAATCTCAAGGACGTTCGGTGAGCTAATTCTTAGCTGCTTCCTGTTTGGCTAAAAGTCGGTTCTGGACCAGAAAGGTTAGTTTCCCTCTCTCTGCGTGCTATCACAGGTAAGTTCGCTGTTTAACTGACATTGGCCCCATGCTGTTGTTCTGCTAACTCTCCTGGCACTGCCTCTTTCTAAATGTTTTACTTACCCAGGAATTCAGCCTGATAGCAAGCGTGGGGAATGCCTTGTACACAGAGTATACGGAATTTGAATTAGTGTTTAAGGAACTCCACAGTAAGGCAAGGGACCATGAAGAGCTGTAAGTCTTCAATCGATTGTAGGAGAGGGGGCAAATTCTGAGAAGAACGTGGTTGAGGATTGAACCTCGGTGTTACCCTTGTTTCCTCTTTTACGTTGTACGTAGTCTTGATGCTTGTTCTTTTCGAAAACCCTGCCTTACGTTTTCCTTCCATGATGCCTAATGCCTCGACCCTTGGAATAGTGTCCCAAATGATCTTTCTCCTTAATATCTATCCTGCACATTGTTGTTAACCAGAAGCCTTGAAATGTCCTTTTAGTTATGGTCCTGTACTACTGCCCCAGAACCTCTGAAGCTCTGAGGCTCAGGAAATTGTGGCATTAAGTACAGATCACACGTTAGGGAGCAGCAAACGATATTTTAGGGAACCAGAGGGTAAATAGTTTAGGCTTACGGCCATAGGATCTCTGACTACTTTGCTCAGCCTTAGTAGTACAAAAGCAGTCAGAGATAGAGACTACCTAAATAAATGAGGTGGCTTTTCCAATAAAACCTATTTCCAAAAAACAGGTGGTTGGCTCAGGCCCAAATTTGTCAACCCTGTGAATTTGACAGGTAAATGAAGCAAATAAATAAGAAGAGTAGGTAGAATTTGGAGCATAATCAAGTACAGTTTTGACAGAGTGAGGAGGTCTGCTAATATTTTTTGGTAGAAGGAGAGAAAGTTTTGGCAGGTGATATTAAACCTGTTTGATGTCTAGGTTGGCCAGGCAAGTGGCCAAGGAGATGTATTTGGTATCATTGAGACAATGCAAGTAATAGTTCACTGGGTGTGGGCAAAGGTTAACTGGAAGCTTGGAGACTGGAAAGGATGTTTAAGTGATGTGGGGAATACTGTTCCAGGATTTTGGAGCTATCTACCTTTTAAAAACAATATTGTCAAACCACATATGATTGTTAGTACAAAGATTTTTAATACGAGCAGCCCCTGACTTTAATTGTATTCATTTTACAATGAATTACAATTACAGTTGTCTGGGTTACATTTTATTGTTAGTAATATGTATTATATACAATATTGTAGCATGTGAATGATGTACTGCTGTTATCCTTATGTCTAGCCCAAAGACAATAAAGATTGAATTTATAAAGATATTGATAATGAAAGGCAATAAGAGGGGGGAGAAAGTATTTGACTTATGTCAAAACTGACCTGATAGAGTCTTGGGAATGGCACCCCTATTGTAAGTTGGGCTCTAACCCAACTTTATAGTTGAGGGATTTATATATTTATAAATTGAGAGAATGAATATTAGCATAATATTATTAGTCAGTACTCTTGATCACTGTGTTTTTTAATCACAATGTTGTTTGCCAAATCAATGCCCTTGAGCTGATTCTCAGTCATAGCCTCCCAATACTACAGGGTGGAATTGCCTCTTCAGGTTTCTGAGGCTGTAAATCTTGATCAGAGCAGAAAGTTTCATCTTTTGGTCTTTCTCTGGTAAGCGAGTAGTGGATTGAACTGTTGGTCTTAGAGTCAGCAGCCCAGCACGTAAACTACTATGCCACCAGGGCTCCTTAATATTGTCTATATATGTGAAAAATTATTGATATAATACAGTCTTTTTGTAATGCATACCTCTGGCAGGAACTAATTCTACAGCTTCCCAGGGATCTATAGCTCTTACATTGGAAATTATTGTGCTAATGAATCAACATTAAGAGAATAAAAGGACTGCTTAGAAGTAGTAGTATATCAAAAGAGGGAGATGTGCTTACAATGAACTTATTCTGAAGGGTTCCATAACTTTTTCCAGCAGCCTGGAGCAACATGAAAGAAATCAAATGACCTGGGTTTAGGTTTAGCATTATACTCACAGAAGATAAGACAGGTGTTTTTTGTACTTATTTTTGTTTTTTTCTTTAAATTGCCTCTCAAGATTATCCCAGTTTTATCAACCACTTCTATGTTCATGATGAACAAACTACCATCATCTTTTTGTGCCTCTTTCTTGAGTTCCAGTTCTTCATGTCAGCCCCACGTCTATGTTACTGTCATTTCAGAGATAACATATTATAAAGAAAGCTTGGTAAATTAAAAAGAAAGTTATCTTTCCTTTGAAACTAGCTTTCTACCTCTTGATTTCTACCTTTTCACTAAAGGATCTACAGAGATGATGGTGTTGACTGTAGGATGTGGGTAGGTTGGGAAACCAGTTGGAGATGTTAAGATTTCCAGGAGAGAGAAGATTACTGATAATATGATATTGTTGGCAAAAGGCAGTTTTAAGTTAAGAAGGAGGCATGTAGAGGAAATTTATTTTAAAACTAAAAATTTTTTGTGTAACTATTGGGTCATGGAGAGGAAATACAATCCTAAAGGAAAGATTGTCTTAACTGTAAAGTGTAGATGGGCTAAAAAAAAAAAAGGTGATTAAAATATAGAGTGGCCTGAGAACACGAGAAGGTCTTTATTTCAAGCTGGAGAGTCCAGGACAATTTGTTGGAAGCCAGGGTATGAGAGTTGAGTTTTGAAAGAAGGACAGTAGTTGACCAGCTTGGGGATGGTAGATGGTATTAGAGTAGGAAGTTTTAGGTGAAGAGAATAATTTTCCCCAAAGCATAGCAAAATGAAAAATGGCACAGTGAGTTTGGTGATGTGTAGGTATGTTAGTCTGGTTGTTGGAATGAAGTAAAATAAGCAGAATGAGTCACCAGGGTTAGATCATGAAATGACTTTGGGAGTTCATCTTGAAATGATTGTGAGGCATTTGGAAATGAAAAGAACGGATTTAGTCAATGGATCTTAAAGGAATGAAGAAAAGATGTAAACAGGTATTACATTTCTGGGAAAATACTTTTTACTGTTGTTTTTGTAAAGAGAAACTTGTTTGAATATTTACTTATATTGAAGCAAATTCTTGTAGCAAAATTAGCCGCATTAAAGTAGATAATTCACTGGCATTTAGTATATTCACAATTTTATGGAATTACTACCTTATCATTATCTTCAAAAGGAGACTTGATTAAGCACTCACTTCTTATTCCCTGTTCCTGAGCCCTGGCAACCACAAATTTATTTTCTGTCGCCAAGAATTTACATATTCTGGATATTTTTAAAAAAAATTATTTTATTGGGGGCTCATACAATTCTTATTCCATACATACATCCATTGTGTCAAGCACATATATACATTTGTTTTGCCCTCATCATTCTCAAAACATTTGCCTTGTACTTTAGCCCTTAATATCAGTTGCTCATTTTCCCCCTCCCTCCCCACTCCCCCCGATTCTGGGTATTTTATGTAAAAAGAAAAATACAAGAGATAACCTTTGGTGTCTGGCTTTCACATAGCATACTGTTTTTAAAGTTTGTTGGAATTGCAACGGATCGAAGCTTCATTTTTCCTTTGTATGTCATTGTACTAGTACTATATTTTGTATATCCATCCATCCTTTAATGGTCAGTGGGTTATTTTCACCTTTAGGCTATTGTGAGGAGTGCTACTGTCAACATTTGGATACATGTATTTGTTTGAATGTCTGTGCTCGTTTCCTCTGGGTATATACCTAGATGTGGAATTGGAGAGTCATTTGTTAATTCTATGTTTGACATTTTGGAGAAGCAGCAAGTTGTTTTCCACCGTGGTTATACCATTTTACATTTCCACCAGCTATGTGTGAAGGTTCTACTTAACAACATTTTAAAAAATAATTTCATTAGGAGCTCTTAACAGCTATTATAACAGTCCAAAATTCAATTAGATCAAACATAATTGTACAATTGCTGCTACCACCACTAGTTTCAAAACATTTTCTTCTTTAGCTCTTTGATACCAGCTCCCCTTCATCCCCTCCCTCCTGTTTTTTTGTGATTTGGTATCCAAAGGAGATGGGTGGTTTCAGGATGCTTAAGTCCCTTAGATAAAATGGCGTGGTATTTGTGTATAGCTATGCACATCCTCTCGTGTACATTAAATCACCTCTAGATTACTTATACCTAATGCAGTGTCATGCTTAATACAATGTAAATGGTGTACAAATAGCACTTTTTGCTCCCACGGAGCCAGTGGAGGAATTGCTTTGACTACTTCAATTATTTTTTTCCAAACACTTTCACCTTACTCCGATGTGGACCCTCTGGACGCAGAGGGCTGCCGAGAGCTGACTATAATGGTCATGTTGCAGGTTTCTGTTGGATTCGCGAGTAAATTGTTCATTATTATCTGAATCATTGTTTTTTATGTGTGTATAGTTTATTGACAATAATTATAATGAATGACTAAGCACAACTACCTTTAATCAGAGATATATTTCTATCACTTATTAACTTTCTCTTTTTTCCTTCCTCAAGTGAGGTTATATAATATTTGTCTTTTGTAACTGAATTATTTTACTTAGCATAATGTCTTCCAGCTCCATTTATATTGTAGCATGCATCAAGATTTCATTTTTTCCTGTGGTCTGAGTAATAATGCTCTATTGTCTGTCTGTACCTCATCTGTTTATCCATTCATCTGCTGGTGGACATTTGGGCTACTTCCGCTGCCGGCTGTTGTGAATGGTGCCGGAATGAACACGGCTGGACAGGTTTTTGAGCCTTTGCT